ATGGGACTGGAGGTGTGGGGGTGGGGCCTAAGGACCGTCTTGTCTACAGTCCTTCCAGGCTGCCTTGCAGACCCAGTGGAGCTGGATGCTCCAGCTGTGTTGCTGCATTGAAGCACACTTGAAAGAGAACACAGCCTACTTTAAGGTAAGGACTAGAGCCTCTCTCTTTCCTGTGGCTTGGCTGCAGTGCTCTGGAAGAGCCCCCGTCGTACCTGACATGTGTAGCCCTGGCTGCTAGTCCTCCTGTGGGGTTCCAGCACCTCTGCCCTCCCTCCGGTGTGGCTTCTTGTACTATGCTTGCCCAGGGTTTGGGCCTGTCAGCCCTGTGTGACCCCTTCTGCTGTCCCAGTTCTTCTCAGACGTTCGGGAGGCTGAGGAACAGTTGCAGAAGCTACAGGAGACAATGCGCAGGAAGTACAGCTGTGACCGCTCCATCACCGTCACCAGGCTGGAGGACCTGCTGCAGGATGCCCAGGTGAGGCAGACACGAACAAGGAACAGAGGGACAGACTGGATGGAACATGGGCTGTGTGGGTACCTGTGGATGGGATAGAAGGCCCAACAGGGCTAAGGAGACACACAGGGTGCAGGTGTACAGCAGACGGAAAAACGGTGACAGGTTGGTGGGCTGGCATGAGCCCCAGACCTTAGAGTCTACCTGAGTGGAGCTGTCACCAGCCCTGTGGTGAATAGACATTGACATCATGGCCTGATGACTGAAGCAGGCATAGCTGTAGGGCCGTGAATGGCAGCTGGGCAGCTGGATGTGGTAACCTTATCCACTGGGGTGTGGTGGGGGTATCTACAATAGTCTCAGCTCTCTGGATAGGGAGAGGCAGAGGGGAGAGGAGGAAGCTGGTTCTATGATCTGCAAGGACTGAGCCAGCTACAGTACTTACCTGAGAGGATGGGAGAGGGCCAGGTGCTCCAGGATGGACTCTGTCCTTGAACTGTTCTTGGTGAAGTTTGTTCTCCCATCCCATCCCTTAGACAGGTTAGACAGGGGAGGAGGATGACTTTCTTCTACAACTAGAAGGGGAGGGAGTAGGGGCGAGGTCATTGCAGGGGCCGGCTCATAAGTAGGCCCTACCCCTTCTTTAGAGGATGTAGGTGTAGCCTAGGGTAGGGATGGGGTACCTAGTCTTGCTTGGAAGGAAGGAGATCAATGGAATCAACTTGTGGAGGCCTGTACCCTCTTGCAACTGTACCTGCCTTGAAGTGCCCTCATTCCCAGCATCCAAAGCCTCCCCAGACAGTCTGCTGCTTTCTGGGCCAGGTGTCTCTGCATCTGGAGCTACATGGGTTGACCCTGAGCCTCCCCCTCCCCACAGGACGAGAAGGAGCAGCTGAACGAGTACAAGGGGCACCTCTCAGGCCTGGCCAAGAGGGCCAAGGCCATTGTGCAGTTGAAGCCACGCAACCCTGCTCACCCGGTGCGGGCCCATGTGCCCCTGGTGGCTGTGTGTGATTATAAGCAGGTGGAGGTAAGAGCTGCGCTAGGCAGTGCCCAAGCCGGGATGGGGGTGGGAGGTATGGTTCCGCCAGGGCATGGTTTTCTTTGCCTACATTGCTTACTGCTCTGACAATCCCAGGTGACTGTACACAAGGGTGACCAGTGCCAGCTAGTGGGTCCTGCCCAGTCTTTCCACTGGAAGGTGCTCAGCGGTTCCAGCAGTGAGGCTGCTGTGCCTTCAGTGTGCTTTCTTGTGCCACCACCCAACCAGGAGGCCCAGGAAGCTGTCACTAGGTGGGTGACCAAGGGTTCACAGCTGTAGGGGGGTTGTGGACAGTGAGGAGGGTTCTAGATCCCCCTGAACATGGTCCTTGTCTCCTAGACTGGAGGCCCAGCATCAGGCCCTGGTTACACTGTGGCACCAGATTCACGTGGACATGAAGAGCCTTCTGGCATGGCAGAGTCTCAGTCGTGACATACAGCTCATCCGGTCCTGGTCCCTCGTCACGGTAGGATTGCACACTGGCCATGGGTACTGGGAAGGATGGGAGGTGGTGTCTTGTGGGCACCAGCTGGCCTGGCCCCATTCTCAATGATGTGTGTCACCTCCAGTTCCGCACACTGAAGCCAGAGGAGCAGCGCCAAGCTCTGCGTAACCTGGAGTTGCACTACCAGGCCTTCCTTCGAGACAGCCAGGATGCTGGTGGCTTTGGGCCCGAGGACCGGCTGGTGGCAGAACGGGAGTATGGATCTTGCAGCCAGCACTACCAGCAGCTACTACAAAGCCTAGAGCAGGGTATGGGGTGGGCAAGGCCCTGTGGTGTGGCAGGTAGGCAGGGGTATGTTGTCCATTTCTGATTAACCTGGTTGTTTCTCCAGGTGAGCAAGAGGAGTCTCGCTGTCAGCGATGCATCTCAGAGCTCAAGGATATTCGGTTGCAACTGGAGGCCTGTGAGACCCGGACTGTGCACCGTCTGCGGCTACCACTGGACAAAGAACCTGCACGGGAGTGTGCCCAACGCATTGTTGAGCAACAGGCAGGCACAGTCCCCATATATCTCACTCCTCCTACCCACTCCAACCTCACTCACCTTCAAGGGAAGCTGGTTGTTAGGCTTTGCTGGTCAATGTGTCCCTACCTGGTCTCTCTACAGAAAACACAAGCTGAGGTTGAAGGGCTGGGCAAGGGAGTCACCCGCCTCTCTGCTGAGGCTGAGAAGGTTCTAGCCTTGCCAGAGCCATCACCTGCTGCTCCCACTCTGCGCTCAGAATTGGAACTGACCCTGGGCAAGCTGGAACAGGTCCGAAGCTTATCTGCCATCTACTTGGAGAAGTGAGTGTTCCTGTGCAGGTTCCTGGGCCCAGCAGGCTCCTCTGGTGAGGGCAGCGATTCCAGACACATTCTGAGCAGAGGAAAGATGAGGGTGGGGGTGTAAAGTGGCAGTGGGGACCTTTGAGCAGTCTGGCTAGGGGATGGTGGGCGTGGGCTTGAGCAGCATGAGGTGGTAGGAAATGCACAGAGCCTGATGCACTGTGAAGATCATATTCGACCTGCACAGCAGCGTGAGGTGGTAGGAAATGCACAGAGCCTGATGCACTGTGAAGATCATATTCGTCGATCTTCTCGATAATGGGATGTGAGGTGTGGGGTAAAGGGACGCTGGTGCTGTTTCCCGAGAAGTCATAGACTTGGGGACAACCAGGAGCCAGCCCAGTGAAGAAGGAGGGGAGAAGATGAACTGGAGCAGGGTTGTTGCGAGTTGTGAGTGGAAGGGAGCCCAGATGGGAGGGAAGGAGGGAGAGAGGCCATGAGTGTGGCCAGACGGCGGGTTCAGGAGGAAGGACCAGTCTGCTACATGGAGGGCCTCGGTGAGTTTGAGAGACGGATGAGCTTCTTGGTGGAGAAAAATGGAGACCTAAGAGGAGCAATTATGGCTGGAGCAATGCTTGAGACGTTAGAGGGACAAGATCCCCCCAGGCCTCTTGATCCTTTTAGGATCCTTCCTTGCTTGAGCTTTTAGTGGCATAAGAAGAGCCTTTCCTGAGCCCAGCCCCTTCTGCCTATCCTCCTGTGCCTAGCCGCAGCGTTTCTATGCTTTTCTCTCTGTTTATTTCAGCACATTTTCATTCAGAGGCACTATGGGTACATTCATAGGGCCTGACTTCCAGATGCCTTGTGCCTTCAGCATTTACTTCCAGCATGTATTGCTTCCTATATTACATAGTACATCCACCTTTTTAAAAAAAATTTTACTTTATGTGCATTGGTGTTTTGCCTGCATACATGTATGTCTGTGTGAAGGTGTCAGATCCCCTGGAACTGGAAATTACAGACAGTTGTGAGCTGCCATGGGGTGCTGGGAATTGAACCCAGGTCCTCTGGAAGAGCAGTCAGTGCTCTTAACCACTGAGCCATCTCTCCAGCCCCTGCATCCACCCTTTATTAACAAATGCTAATACAGTGTTAGGACTTCTCTGTTGGGCACATGGTCCCCTTCCTACTTCCTGTTTGCTCAGCAAGTCTTGAGCTGGAGGTTGAGGACTACACTGCAGGTGCTGTAACCTGCTCCTAGCTGGAGTATCCTCTCTCTGGGTCTTCTAGCTTAAGTGACCACTGCTCTGGCCGAGTGGGGTATGGGCATAGCAGGGGGTACATAGTGGCTCCTGTTCCTTCATCAAGGGTGTGTTGCTTGAGCCCATGTATTTCCTGGCTCTGAGTCTTGCTGTCTCCTACCTAGACTCAAGACCATCAGCTTGGTAATTCGAGGTACCCAGGGGGCCGAGGAGGTGCTGAAAGCCCACGAGGAGCAGCTCAAGGAGGCGCAGGCTGTGCCTGCCACTCTCCAAGAGCTTGAAGCCACCAAGGCCTCACTGAAGGTACTATTTGGGAACTTGTGCTTCACTGGGGGCTGGGTCAGTAGGAGTCTGTGTTAAAATGGCAACCATCTTGCCTTGCCCAACAGAAACTGCGGGTCCAGGCAGAAGCACAGCAGCCTGTATTCGACACCCTAAGAGATGAACTGCGGGGGGCACAGAAAGTTGGTGAACAGCTCCAACAGCGGCATGGTGAACGGGATGTGGAAGTGGGACGCTGGCGAGAGCGTGTCACTCAGTTGCTGGAGCGCTGGCAGGCTGTGCTAGCTCAGACTGACGTGCGGCAGCGTGAGCTTGAACAGCTGGGTCGCCAGCTAAGCTACTACCGAGAGAGTGCTGACCCACTGAGTTCCTGGCTGCAGGATGCCAAGAGGCGGCAAGAACAGATCCAGGCGGTGCCGATACCCAACAGCCAGGCTGCACGGGAACAACTGCGCCAGGAGAAGGTAGGCCTCAGATAGGCTTGGCATGTGATAGGGCACAGCCAATAGCTTGCTCAGTGCTAACTCCTTCCTCCCTCAGGCCCTGCTGGAAGAGATTGAGCGTCACGGTGAGAAGGTTGAGGAGTGCCAGAGGTTTGCCAAGCAGTACATCAATGCCATCAAGGTGAGGCCTCCCACTGCCAGCTCTAAAACTCAAAACTGGGGCACACTTGCCAATTGCAGGCATTGGGTTCTTGAGTGACTCTCCCAAGCCCGGGCTGTGACAGAGAAAGCCTGTGAGGCAGCTTGGGGGATCAGGCCCAGGAGTGTATAGAGCTGGCAGCTGACTACGTTGTGTGTCTATAGGACTATGAGCTCCAGCTGGTCACCTACAAGGCACAGCTTGAGCCCGTGGCCTCCCCAGCCAAGAAGCCTAAGGTTCAGTCTGGATCAGAGAGTGTCATCCAAGAGGTAGGATTGAGTTGGGCCAAGCCTCAACTGAGCAAGGGGCTAGGTGGGCCTCAGGGGGCTCTTGGTCATTGATTGGCTTTCTCCTTTCTCCCAGTATGTGGATCTGCGTACACGCTACAGTGAGCTGACCACACTCACAAGTCAGTACATCAAGTTTATCAGTGAGACACTGCGCCGCATGGAAGAGGAAGAGGTAGGCCTGGGGCCTTGTGGACAGGGTGGGGGAAGCCCCTTTTCCTGGTTTCAAATGCAGCCCATAGGAACCTGTCAGGGACCACTCACTTATTACAGTTCACTCCATGCCCCATGCGCAGTGCTGCTCAATACCCCACCCCAGCACTGCTCCCTGGGTCGCCCTTCCTTGTGGCCCCCACCTTGATCTGGCTCAGCTCTGCTCTCCGCCTGGTGGCTAGTGCACCCTTTCTCATTGGCGAGTGTTCCTACATGCATCCTTCTGACTCTCATACGTGCTCTTCCTGAGGATTGTGCTGGTGTCACTGGGTCTTGCCCTAGGAAGAGTTGGTGTATGTGGTTATGGGGTTTGGAGAGAGGCATCTCAGAGTAACTTGGCCAGGCATGGTGCCATCTATCTAGTTCCCTATACCCCAGGTGGCCTTGTTGGCTTGCCTGTAGCCCTACCTCCTCCTTGCTCCTGTTTGCCAGCTTGGGAGGCCTTCTGTGCTGGCTCTGGTCTGCACAGCTGTCCCCACTTTGCCTGCTTCATGATGCCCCCACCCCATCGGGCTTTGGGAACAGCTCCCCTCCCCACGAGGGGAGAGGGTACTTGTGGTGGGAACCAAGCCTGAGAGGGTCTGGTAGAATTCAGGCAGGGCTATGGTATGGTGGGTATGGCTTGCAGGCCCTGCGAGCCTCCTGCTTTGCTTTCTCTTCTCTCCCTCTCTCCCTATCCGTCTGTCTCCGTCGCCTGTCTGCGGGAAGAGGGGAGGACGCCTGGGCCTCCTTCCCCAGGCTGGTGAGCATGGTGGGGCTGCTATGCTCGCTGCCCAAGTATCCTGGGCGGGTGCACGCTGTCTCCTTGGCTGGGTTGGAACCTCTGTTCTCCCCGATTCCCCCCAAATTGTGCTGTCCAAGTGAACTGTGGTAGTACCGTCCATGTCACGTGGATGCCTGGCACCCTCCCGACGCTCACGCTCACGCTGTCTCTGGTTCTCTTCCTCTCTCTGCTGCCGCCGCAGAGGCTGGCTGAGCAACAGCGGGCAGAGGAGCGTGAGCGACTGGCTGAGGTAGAGGCTGCGCTGGAGAAGCAGCGGCAGCTAGCTGAGGCACATGCCCAGGCTAAGGCACAGGCAGAGCTGGAAGCACAAGAACTGCAGCGGCGCATGCAAGAGGAGGTGGCGCGGCGTGAGGAGGCAGCGGTGGATGCCCAGCAACAGAAGCGCAGCATCCAAGAGGAGCTGCAGCATCTTCGGCAGAGCTCAGAGGCAGAGATCCAAGCCAAGGCCCAACAGGTGGAGGCTGCAGAACGCAGCCGGTTGCGCATTGAGGAAGAGATCCGTGTAGTGCGCCTGCAGCTGGAGACAACTGAGAGGCAGCGTGGAGGGGCAGAGGACGAGCTCCAGGCTCTGCGCGCGCGGGCAGAGGAGGCAGAAGCGCAGAAGCGGCAGGCCCAGGAGGAGGCCGAACGCCTGCGGAGGCAGGTGCAAGACGAGAGCCAGCGCAAAAGGCAGGCGGAGGCCGAGCTGGCCCTGCGCGTACAGGCTGAAGCTGAGGCGGCTCGGGAGAAGCAGCGGGCCCTGCAGGCCCTGGAGGAACTGCGACTGCAGGCCGAGGAGGCTGAGCGGCGGCTGCGCCAAGCTGAGGCAGAGCGGGCCCGCCAAGTGCAGGTGGCTCTGGAGACAGCGCAGCGCAGCGCAGAGGTGGAGCTGCAGAGCAAGCGCGCATCCTTTGCAGAGAAGACAGCACAGCTGGAGCGCACGCTGCAGGAAGAGCACGTGACAGTGGCACAGCTGCGGGAGGAGGCCGAGCGGCGGGCACCGCAGAAAGCCGAGGCCGAACGAGCCCGTGAGGAGGCTGAGCGGGAGCTGGAGCGCTGGCAGCTGAAGGCCAACGAAGCACTTAGGCTGCGGCTACAAGCGGAAGAGGTGGCGCAGCAGAAGAGTCTGGCGCAGGCCGACGCGGAGAAGCAGAAGGAAGAGGCAGAGCGTGAGGCCCGGCGGCGTGGCAAGGCAGAGGAACAGGCCGTGCGGCAGCGAGAGCTGGCTGAGCAGGAGCTGGAGAAGCAGCGACAGCTGGCGGAGGGCACCGCGCAGCAGCGCCTGGCTGCAGAGCAGGAGCTGATCCGCCTGCGGGCTGAGACGGAGCAGGGCGAACAGCAAAGGCAGCTGCTGGAAGAGGAGCTGGCCCGGCTGCAGCGGGGGGCGGCGGCAGCCACGCAGAAGCGCCAGGAGCTGGAGGCCGAGCTGGCCAAAGTGCGGGCCGAGATGGAGGTACTGCTGGCCAGCAAGGCGCGAGCTGAGGAAGAGTCTCGTTCTACCAGCGAGAAGTCTAAGCAGAGGCTAGAGGCTGAGGCCGACCGGTTTAGGGAGCTGGCTGAGGAGGCTGCCCGTCTGCGCGCCCTGGCTGAGGAGGCCAAGCGGCAGCGGCAGCTGGCCGAGGAGGATGCAGCGCGTCAACGGGCCGAGGCAGAGCGAGTGCTCACTGAGAAGCTGGCTGCCATTAGTGAGGCCACAAGGCTCAAGACAGAGGCAGAGATTGCACTCAAAGAGAAGGAGGCCGAGAATGAGCGCCTACGGCGCCTGGCTGAAGATGAGGCCTTCCAGCGGCGGCGTCTGGAGGAGCAGGCCGCACTGCACAAGGCTGACATAGAGGAGCGCCTGGCCCAGCTGCGCAAGGCATCAGAGAGTGAGCTGGAGCGGCAAAAGGGGTTGGTGGAGGACACGCTGCGACAGCGGCGGCAGGTGGAAGAGGAGATCATGGCACTGAAGGTGAGCTTTGAGAAAGCTGCCGCCGGCAAGGCAGAACTGGAGCTGGAGCTGGGGCGCATTCGCAGCAATGCCGAGGACACAATGCGCAGCAAGGAGCAGGCAGAGCAGGAGGCCGCTCGGCAGCGGCAGCTGGCGGCCGAGGAGGAGCAGAGGCGCCGGGAGGCGGAGGAACGTGTGCAGAAGAGCCTGGCCGCTGAGGAGGAAGCTGCGCGGCAGCGCAAGGTTGCCCTGGAGGAAGTCGAGCGGCTCAAGGCCAAGGTGGAGGAAGCGCGGCGCCTGCGAGAACGGGCAGAGCAGGAGTCCGCAAGGCAGCTGCAGCTGGCCCAGGAGGCCGCCCAGAAACGACTGCAGGCAGAGGAGAAAGCGCACGCCTTTGTGGTGCAGCAGCGGGAAGCGGAGCTGCAGCAGACTCTTCAGCAAGAGCAGAGCATGCTGGAGCGGCTGCGGAGTGAGGCGGAGGCAGCGCGGCGGGCTGCCGAGGAGGCAGAGGAGGCGCGGGAGCAGGCAGAACGGGAGGCAGCACAGTCGCGGAAACAAGTGGAGGAGGCGGAGCGGCTGAAGCAGTCAGCGGAGGAGCAGGCCCAGGCCCAGGCTCAGGCCCAGGCCGCGGCAGAGAAGCTGCGTAAGGAGGCCGAGCAGGAGGCAGCGCGTCGGGCACAGGCCGAGCAGGCGGCATTGAAGCAGAAGCAAGCGGCCGATGCAGAGATGGAGAAGCACAAGCGGTTTGCAGAGCAGACGCTGCGGCAGAAGGCCCAGGTGGAGCAGGAGCTGACTGCTCTCAGGCTGCAGCTAGAGGAGACTGACCACCAGAAGAGCATCCTGGATGAGGAGCTGCAGCGGCTGAAGGCCGAGGTGACCGAGGCAGCCCGGCAGCGTAGCCAGGTAGAGGAGGAGCTCTTCTCCGTTCGCGTGCAGATGGAGGAGCTGGGCAAGCTCAAGGCTCGCATTGAAGCCGAAAACCGGGCACTCATCCTGCGAGACAAGGACAACACACAGCGCTTCCTGGAGGAGGAGGCTGAGAAGATGAAACAGGTGGCGGAGGAGGCTGCACGGTTGAGTGTGGCTGCCCAGGAGGCGGCACGGCTGCGGCAGCTGGCAGAGGAGGACCTGGCGCAGCAGCGGGCCCTGGCGGAGAAGATGCTCAAGGAAAAGATGCAGGCCGTACAGGAAGCCACGAGGCTTAAGGCGGAGGCCGAGCTGCTACAGCAGCAGAAGGAGCTTGCACAGGAGCAGGCCCGGCGGCTGCAGGAAGACAAGGAGCAGATGGCGCAGCAGTTGGTAGAGGAGACGCAGGGTTTCCAGCGCACGCTGGAGGCGGAGAGGCAGCGGCAGCTGGAAATGAGTGCGGAGGCTGAACGCCTCAAGCTGCGCATGGCCGAGATGAGCCGGGCTCAGGCCCGTGCAGAGGAGGATGCCCAGCGCTTCCGGAAGCAGGCTGAAGAGATTGGTGAAAAGCTGCACCGCACCGAACTGGCCACACAGGAGAAAGTGACATTGGTGCAGACACTGGAGATCCAGCGACAACAGAGTGATCACGATGCCGAGCGTCTGAGGGAGGCCATTGCTGAGCTGGAGCGGGAGAAGGAGAAGCTCAAGCAAGAGGCCAAATTGCTGCAGCTCAAGTCTGAGGAGGTACCGCCCTCCCTCCTCACTGGCAGAAGGGCGGGCTGGGTGGCAGGGAGGGTCTGCCTTTGGTGGTGAGTGCTTCTGGGTCTCCATCCTCCCTGAGAGCTAACCTCCTTTCCCATCCCCCACAGATGCAGACCGTGCAGCAGGAGCAGATACTGCAGGAGACACAGGCCTTGCAGAAGAGCTTCCTCTCTGAGAAGGATAGCCTGGTCCAACGGGAACGCTTCATCGAGCAGGAAAAGGCCAAGCTGGAACAGCTGTTCCAGGATGAAGTGGCAAAAGCACAGCAGCTACGGGAGGAGCAGCAGCGGCAGCAGCAGCAGATGGAGCAGGAGAAACAGGAGTTGGTGGCCAGCATGGAGGAGGCCAGGAGGCGGCAGTGCGAGGCAGAGGAGGCCGTGCGGCGCAAGCAGGAGGAGCTGCAGCATCTGGAGCAGCAGCGGCAGCAGCAGGAGAAGCTGCTGGCTGAGGAGAACCAGAGGCTGCGAGAGCGGCTGCAGCGCCTGGAGGAAGAGCACAGGGCAGCCCTGGCACACTCTGAGGAGATTGCTGCCACTCAGGCTGCTGCAGCAAAAGCCCTGCCCAATGGCCGCGATGCACTGGATGGCCCATCCGTCGAGGTGGAACCTGAGCACACCTTCGAGGGGCTGCGTCAGAAGGTGCCAGCTCAGCAGCTGCAGGAAGCAGGCATTCTGAGCATGGAGGAACTGCAGAGGTTGGCACAGGGCCACACCACAGTGGCTGAGCTCTCGCAGAGGGAAGATGTGCACCAGTACCTGAAGGGCCGCAGCAGCATTGCAGGACTGCTGCTAAAGCCCACCAATGAGAAGCTGAGTGTCTACACAGCCCTGCAGAGGCAGCTGCTGAGCCCCGGAACAGCTCTTATCCTTCTTGAGGCCCAGGCGGCCTCAGGCTTCCTGCTGGACCCTGTGTGGAACCGGCGTCTGACTGTCAATGAGGCCGTGAAGGAGGGTGTCGTGGGTCCTGAGCTGCACCACAAGCTCTTGTCTGCTGAGCGGGCCGTCACCGGCTACAAGGACCCCTACACGGGGGAGCAGATCTCCCTCTTCCAGGCCATGCAGAAGGACCTCATCGTCAGGGACCACGGCATCCGCCTTCTGGAGGCCCAGATTGCCACGGGCGGCATCATCGACCCTGTGCACAGCCACCGTGTGCCCGTGGACGTGGCCTACCAGCGTGGCTACTTTGACGAGGAGATGAACCGCATCTTGGCTGACCCAAGCGATGACACCAAGGGCTTCTTCGACCCCAACACGCACGAGAACCTCACCTACCTGCAGCTGCTGGAGCGCTGTGTGGAGGACCCCGAGACCGGCCTGCGCCTCCTGCCACTCACAGATGAGGCTGCCAAGGGTGGTGAGCTGGTGTACACGGACACAGAGGCCCGTGACGTCTTTGAGAAGGCTACTGTGTCTGCGCCATTTGGCAAGTTCCAGGGCAAGACTGTGACCATCTGGGAGATCATCAACTCAGAGTACTTCACAGCAGAGCAGCGCCGGGATCTGCTGCGGCAGTTCCGGACGGGCCGCATCACGGTGGAGAAGATCATCAAGATTGTCATCACGGTGGTGGAGGAGCACGAGCGCAAGGGCCAGCTCTGCTTCGAGGGCCTCCGTGCCCTTGTGCCTGCCGCAGAGTTACTGGAGAGCGGGGTCATTAACCAGGAACTCTACCAGCAGCTGCAGAGGGGTGAGCGTTCTGTGCGGGAGGTGGCTGAGGCAGACAGCGTGAGACGGGCCCTGCGGGGTGCCAACGTCATTGCCGGTGTGTGGCTGGAAGAAGCAGGGCAGAAGCTGAGCATCTATGAGGCCTTGAAGAAAGACTTGCTGCAGCCAGACGTGGCTGTGGCCTTGCTGGAGGCCCAGGCTGGCACTGGGCACATCATTGACCCCGCCACTAGTGCCCGGCTGACTGTGGATGAGGCGGTGCGTGCTGGCCTAGTAGGCCCTGAGCTGCATGAGAAGCTCTTGTCAGCTGAGAAGGCTGTGACAGGCTATAGGGATCCCTACTCAGGACAAAGTGTCTCACTGTTCCAGGCCCTGAAGAAGGGTCTCATCCCCCGAGAACAGGGCCTGCGCCTGCTGGATGCCCAGTTATCCACTGGTGGCATTGTAGACCCCAGCAAGAGCCACCGTGTGCCCCTGGATGTTGCCTACGCCCGGGGCTACCTGGACAAAGAGACCAACAGGGCCCTGTTGTCACCCAGGGATGATGCCAGAGTCTACCTTGACCCCAGCAGCCAGGAGCCAGTCACCTACAGCCAGCTCCAGCAGCGGTGCCATTCTGACCAGCTGACGGGGTTGAGTCTGCTGCCGGTCTCAGAGAAGGCTGTCCGGGCCCGACAGGAGGAGGTCTACTCTGAGCTCCAGGCCCGTGAGACACTGGAGAAGGCCACAGTTGAGGTCCCTGTGGGCAGCTTTAAGGGCAGGACAGTGACCGTGTGGGAGCTCATAAGCTCTGAGTACTTCACCGAGGAGCAGCGGCAGGAGCTGCTGCGGCAGTTCCGCACAGGCAAGGTCACTGTAGAGAAGGTCATCAAGATTCTCATCACCATTGTGGAGGAGGTGGAGACCCAGCGGCAGGAGCGGCTGTCCTTCAGTGGCCTCCGTGCCCCAGTGCCAGCCAGCGAGCTCTTGGCCGCCAAGATCCTCAGCAGAGCTCAGTTTGACCAGCTCAAGGATGGCAAGACATCAGTCAAAGACCTGTCAGAGGTGGACTCTGTGCGGACACTGCTGCAAGGCAGTGGCTGCCTAGCCGGCATCTACCTGGAGGACTCTAAGGAAAAAGTAACCATCTATGAGGCCATGCGCCGGGGCCTCCTCACACCCAGCACAGCCACACTCCTGCTGGAGGCCCAGGCAGCCACTGGCTTTCTAGTGGACCCTGTGCGGAACCAGCGTCTGTATGTCCATGAGGCTGTCAAGGCGGGAGTAGTGGGCCCTGAGCTCCATGAGAAGCTCCTGTCAGCTGAGAAGGCGGTCACCGGCTATAAGGATCCCTACTCAGGCACCACCATCTCACTGTTCCAGGCTATGAAGAAGGGCTTGGTCCTCAGGGAGCATGCCATCCGCCTGCTGGAGGCTCAGATTGCCACGGGGGGCATCATTGACCCTGTGCACAGCCACCGCCTGCCGGTGGACGTGGCCTACCAGCGTGGCTACTTTGATGAGGAAATGAACCGTGTGCTGGCAGATCCAAGTGATGACACCAAGGGCTTCTTCGACCCCAACACACATGAGAACCTCACTTACTTGCAGCTGCTGGAGCGCTGTGTGGAGGACCCCGAGACAGGCCTGCGCCTCCTGCCACTCAAAGGCGCAGAGAAGACAGAGGTGGTAGAAACCACACGGGTGTATACTGAGGAGGAGACTAGGAGGGCGTTTGAGGAGACGCAGATTGACATCCCTGGTGGTGGCAGCCATGGTGGCTCCTCCATGTCCCTGTGGGAGGTGATGCAGTCAGACATGATCCCAGAGGATCAGCGAGCCCGGCTCATGGCTGACTTTCAGGCTGGTCGAGTGACCAAGGAGCGTATGATCATCATTATCATTGAAATCATCGAGAAGACTGAGATCATCCGCCAACAGAACCTGGCCTCCTATGACTACGTGCGCCGCCGCCTCACTGCCGAAGACCTGTACGAGGCCCGCATCATCTCCCTTGAGACCTACAACCTCTTCCGGGAAGGCACAAAGAACCTCCGTGAAGTTCTGGAGATGGAGTCTGCCTGGCGCTACCTTTATGGCACAGGATCAGTAGCCGGTGTCTACCTGCCTGGCTCCAGGCAGACGCTAACCATCTACCAGGCCCTTAAGAAGGGGCTGCTGAATGCTGAGGTGGCCCGCTTATTGCTGGAAGCACAGGCAGCCACAGGCTTCCTGCTGGACCCAGTGAAGGGTGAACGGCTGACTGTGGATGAGGCTGTGCGGAAGGGTCTGGTAGGCCCTGAGCTGCATGATCGGCTGCTTTCCGCAGAGCGGGCTGTTACTGGATACCGTGACCCCTATACCGAACAGACCATTTCACTCTTCCAGGCCATGAAGAAGGAGCTGATCCCTGCTGAGGAGGCATTGAGGCTGCTGGATGCCCAGCTAGCCACAGGAGGCATTGTGGACCCCCGCCTGGGTTTCCACCTCCCCCTGGAGGTGGCTTACCAACGTGGCTACCTCAACAAGGACACACATGACCAGCTTTCAGAGCCCAGTGAGGTGCGCAGCTATGTGGATCCCTCCACGGATGAGCGCCTCAGCTACACCCAGCTGCTCAAGCGGTGCCGCCGTGATGACAACAGTGGCCAGATGCTCCTGCCTCTCTCTGATGCCCGCAAGTTGACCTTCCGAGGCCTGCGTAAACAGATTACCGTGGAGGAGCTGGTGCGTTCTCAGGTCATGGACGAGGCCACGGCGCTGCAGTTGCAAGAAGGCCTGACCTCCATTGAGGAGGTCACTAAGAACCTGCAGAAGTTCCTTGAGGGTACCAGCTGCATTGCCGGAGTCTTTGTTGATGCTACCAAGGAGCGGCTCTCAGTGTACCAGGCCATGAAGAAGGGCATTATCCGCCCCGGTACAGCCTTTGAGCTCCTAGAAGCACAGGCAGCCACTGGCTATGTCATTGACCCTATCAAGGGACTCAAGCTGACTGTGGAAGAGGCTGTACGTATGGGTATTGTGGGCCCTGAGTTCAAAGACAAACTGCTGTCAGCTGAGCGCGCTGTCACTGGCTACAAGGATCCCTACTCTGGGAAACTCATCTCCCTCTTCCAGGCCATGAAGAAGGGCCTAATCCTGAAGGACCACGGCATCCGTCTGCTAGAGGCTCAGATCGCCACTGGTGGCATCATCGACCCCGAGGAGAGCCACCGTCTACCTGTGGAAGTGGCCTATAAGCGTGGCCTCTTTGATGAGGAGATGAATGAGATCCTGACCGATCCCTCAGATGACACCAAGGGTTTCTTTGACCCCAACACGGAGGAGAACCTCACTTACCTGCAGCTGATGGAGCGCTGCATCACTGACCCCCAGACTGGCCTGTGTCTTCTGCCACTGAAGGAGAAGAAGCGGGAGCGGAAGACGTCCTCCAAGTCTTCAGTGCGCAAGCGCCGCGTGGTGATTGTGGACCCTGAGACAGGCAAGGAGATGTCAGTGTACGAGGCCTACCGCAAGGGCCTCATTGACCACCAGACATA